AATAATAATAACATAAAGTGATGGTGATATAGTAAATTATGATAATTAGATTATTTTACATTTACATTCAAAGTCCAAAGTAAAATTATAATCAAAAGGAAAGAGAGAAAGAAGTTAAGCAATGTATAATCAATTTACCAAGTAATTGATTATATCTATTTAGGCTAAATTATGTATAATAAACTGTTTAAATTACTATATCAAAATTCAAATGATTTATTCGGTGACGAAATCCTCGTTCTTAGTGTTAGAGTACACAATTACTAACCAGAGACCATAAAGTTAGGACTACTGGTGCTACGTGACGTAATATTAGCATAGCCAGTTGATCGGAATGTGGTTTTCAGTTTCACATTATCACATTTAAACTGTTAAACAACCCTCACAGGCCTACTGATAGGAGCAACTACGGACTAAATTCTTAGTCGCAAAGTTATTAAAATATGCTAATCTCAGAAAACAAAATGTTACTAGCGAAAGTTAAAAAAACAACAAGAAAAAACCGAAACAAAACACAAAAAACACAGTTATTCTTTTTTCTTAATAGTTATAACATTATGCATCTGGTCTTGCTCTTTTAGAAATTTAGATTTTGAATTTCGACAAAATATTTCCAGAGCACTTGCAACCGATCCCACAAAATAAGACACTCAAATATATTTTTCCCGCAAAAATCTGGTCTAAGCACTTATTGAAAGCTGACCAATGACTTATATAAGGGCTTGACCCCAGTGCCCGTAGGCTGACGAGTAGACCTGTTGTATCATTTAATTTGTCTTTCTCCTGTGTAATTTATGTTCGCTTTGAGCATGAATTCATCCTAAAATCTGTGGTGACATCCTTTTGGTGTTAATCCATCTTTTAACATCGTTAGGTTATCAAAAATCTCAAAATGTAACGTCCGTTTGGGATATGATAGTGACAGAAAGGTCGAGAACCTCAGAATTTTCTCAAGCAAAGGACTTTACAAACACACCGTACAAAATTCTAATGTTTAAAAAATTAGCATTGCGTGATACAGTAAGTTAAACTAGAGGTAAGTTTTCACTTCACTTTTTAAAAGTTTTTTGCCTTGTTTAAATTCCCTTACTAGTAATATTTACACATAAGCCATGCACACTTGTCATTTATTTTTCATCTCCCTGCCCTCTGCCACAGTTACGAAAATACACCTGTCGTAAACCGTCAGTGATTTGATCTCAGTATCAAATTTTAAGACTACGGTGACTTCATAAGTAATGACATCAGCTACACATTCGTGAAAAAAAATTGTGATAAGAATTTTTTTTTTTAATAGGAAAAAAATTATTAACGCGATTGGAAAATCCAAGTTTTCGAAAAAAAATGACAGAAAAAAAAACCCAACTCCTATTTAAATCCCTTTCCTTGTGATTTTTTCTCAATCGGCCAGTGCCAGGTCGGATCAACCATTCACAGCGCGCCATCATGTACCATAATGTAGGAATAAACACACATTGGCTAGTCGCTGTAGAGCAGGAGACACCCTCACTTTGAGGTAACGAGTTAGTGATAAACTGTCTGTGAAAGACTTAAATCCTCAACAGAATCTGTGTCTCTTTCTTTTTCTCTTTTTTCCTCGCATTGGTTGTGCATTTTTTTTCCAAATGTGATCATGAGAAACTATGCTTGTCTCACAACGAGAAATTTGGATCAGTCGTGGCTACAGTAGTAAATAGTTTGAGTATGTTTGAAAACACACACACACACACACACACACACACACAT